CTCTCTCTCTCTCTCTCTCTCTCTCTCTCTCTCTCTCTCTCTCTCGGAGGTGGCTCCTTCTGCTGGAAGAGAAATGGGAGACAACCACAGCCACACCCTGGCACCTGCCAAGGTTTCCAAAGTTCCTACATCGCGGGTTCCTTCTACACAGGCAGGAGACTCTAGGTGAAGGAGGTGGGGTGGGGGTGGGGGGTTGTTGGCGGGCACATAGTGTCAGAGATGCTGTTGAATTTGGGGGATTTGACTTTATCATGAACCATGACTACCGGAATTCCCTGAAGTTCCCTCTTGCAGTGGCAGAAAAAAAGGAGTTAAACGATTTTGAAAAGTGGCACTTGAGGCGAGAAGGATGCTGCGTGAATGGCAGAGCCCTGCAAAGTGGACTGTCCACGGTTTCTCAAGAAAGGAAAGCTAGCCAGCAGTCTGCTTGGTATATGCGAGGTCCGGGGCTCAGTAGGTGTCCTGTCTTCACTGGGGTAAGAGGTGTGCGGTCTTCTGAGAGGAGGAGATAGAAAATTATAATGAGAACTTGGAGACGGGAAGAAAATAGATGGCCGGGACAGAATCTTGAAGATCACTAGGATGGATCAAATGTCCTCACTACACATCAAAAACAGTGACAAAACGGGTATTTTATAGTTTGGGTTTTATTTCACCACCACCTTCACACCCCCCACACACCCACAAACACACACATACACTCACTTTCTCTCTCTCTCTCAAAGTGGGCTGAAGAAAAATATAGTCCATAGAGTACAATAGTGCCTTCTGATTTGTGGTGGCAGTTGTTTTTAGAATGATTGCTTACTGTACATAGATTCAATTTTATTCTGTCACTAGCAGGTACCAACATGAACGAGATGGGTCTCTCTCTCTCTCTCTCTCTCTCTCTCAAAAATATTTCACCTCGACAACCAATTGGCATGTAGGGAGAGAGAGAAATTGAGAAATCCTTAAAGGCAAGTAGGTGAATAGAGAATTTACTAAGGAAGAGATAACGGTGATCAACTGGTCATGCAACTTTATCTCTGCTTGCAGCCCTGAGCCCTTTCCACTTGAATTTCTACCACCCTTTAGAATTTGAAGTGAGATCGAGGATGTAAATGGGGTGGAAAAGTAATAATACATACTCCTAGCCAGGAGTTAAGGTATGTATTATACCACTGGCAAAAAAACAGAAAACAATTTTCAGAATACAATTTGTTCAGATCCCCTGCTTGG